TATATATATATATATATATATATATATATATATATATATATATATATATATATATATATAATTGATATTAAAATTGTATTTAGAACAAAGTTATTGTGAGTTCTTAGTAAGATACCATGTTTATATGAATATCACAGTCTTTAAAACTGTAAAACCATTTTTTCGGGTACAGAATTTTATTTTGATAGTGACTAAAATTTATCATCGTTCTCATTATTTAGATAAGACAGAAAAAAATACATTGTTCCTGAGTTTCAAAACTTCTTGTTTTATAGTCAAACTGACCTAAAGTGCTGTGAGAAAAGGCAATAAAAAAAAAATCAGTAAGTATTGTAAAAAAGATAAGAGCAGGACATGTTACAGTAACTGCCTGGTTCATCCTTTGGTGAATTGCAAATTGTTTGCCAGACAACATGGTACTGAGCAACAGTCATGTTTCTATGTCATCTTTTTGTGAGAAATGTTGTTTCTAGCCCAGATAATAAAGCAAAAAAACTTTTGAATAGCTGACTGATGCTGAAAATAGTGTTACAATTTTATTGCCTGAAAAGCCATTCAGTGAAGAAGAATCCAACATACCAAGAAGTTTATATTTGGCATGTGCTCAGAACAAGAGAGCTTCATTTTGGGAGATATCTTCTGTGGTTTGGTGAAAATAAAATCTGTTTGGCCTAAGTGACAACCGTTACGCTTGGTACGGTGGACTATAGAGTTGAGAACCCCATCTCAGCTGTGAAATACTATGCAGCAGAATCTTATTATGTGGTCATTTTACTGCAGGAGGGTGTTGTGCTTTTATAAAGTAGATTGATGAAAGAACATTAAAAGAGATTTTGAGATACAGCTAAAGTCAGTGACCAGGACAATAAAGCTTGCTTAATGGGTTTTATGTTAGAGTTGAGCTGAAAAAGTATATATAAGCAAGGGAGCTTAGAGATAGCTCTCGACCTAACTGTGCCTCAATAGTGTTGCGCTAATATATATACTGACTGTCTTTGACTTTTACTTTGGCTGAGGTCTAGTTTCTGCAGTTTCTTTCTTTGCATGCATGGGTTCTCTCCAGGTACTTAGATTTTGTTCAATATATATTCTATTTTTTCCATGCTGCTAAAGAAGTTAAATTAATGCTACCACTGCCATTTTTACTGTATTGACTGATAATTTAACGTGATGCTTAGTACTAGTTTTCACTCATAGCATCTTTCATATAGGCCAAAAACTAAGTTGTTGCTCTCATCTGACCATTGCTATATCCCCAGACGCCTTACTGCGAACTGCAAATACCGTACAATAATTTAAGGGTTTCTGTAAACTTTCTTGTCTGTCTTCCTTAAATACCAGATTTCTGTAGTGCATAACTAGTCGTCCTGTCCACACATTCTCCAACTTGCCCACTGTTGCTCCTAATGTAATTAAGGGTTATCGGGTTATTTTGCACTCTTAAAGATAATGCATTATACATAAAGAGAACTCCAAATTCAGTATAAATTTGAATTTTGTTAAAAAGTTTTACACTGTAAACTCATGATGACCCACCCTGATCAGCTATTTAACTAAAAACACTTCCAAAGGTTTCCTTAGCCTTTAATGGTGTCACAGTATGGGTAGGTAGCCAACATAATCATAGAGTAGACTGTTGATTTGACATATGTCTAGAAGACAGTCATTGGCGATCTCCACAAGGGGGGTAAGTAACAAAAAGGTATTTGCCTAAAAAGCCTAATTTATTAAACAGTACAGTACAGTTAAATAGTGTTTAAGCATATTCATAGAAAGTTGAGTGGAAGGAAAAGTCCAGCAAGAAAAGATGTAACCAAGATAACAACAGCTTTGAGAGATTTATCACGCAAACAACATAAAAACAATGTGCATTGGTCCATAATGCACACGTTGTGCATTATGGACCAAGGATATGTTCACACTGCTGCCTCTTCTTTGACAATATTGGATTTTTATCTGATCTTTTCATGACATTCTGAAT